CATCATGAGAAGGCATGAATTGCTGGAAAAGACAATTATGTTAGGAAAGGTGAAGGCAAGTATAAAGAGAGGAAGGCCACATGCTAAATGGATGGACTTTATTAAAGAGACCACGAATATGAGTTTGCAGGAGCTGGCAGAGCAGTATAAGACGGGGGGGGGGGGGGTAGAGATGTCTCATCCATAGGGTTGCTATGGGTCGAGACTGATGCAAAGCAGTTTAACAATAAAAGCACATCCAATACACAAGAATCCAAATATTTGTAAAAAACATTTTTTTCTAGGATCTAGGTACAGAGTCGAGCTCTTAAATCTTATTCACTTTAATGGAATGCAAGTTTGCTTAGGTTTTCTGCACTGAAGCCTTTTGCCTGTCTATATTTTTGATGTTCCATTTTGTTCATGCACAGAACATTTTCATTCGGTTTTGCTATCTTTTTGAGCACACAGCAGTCAACAGCCTCAGTTTATTTGAACAAGCAGATGGTGCTCTCTACAGCCTGGACCCTAGGAGTGGGAAGAATATAAACTATCACATATACATCATCTGTTCTTGTATATATGTACACACACACACACAAAACACACTACCATGGATTTTACCATTTTGAAATGGTTAGTCCTGAGCAACAGACCACTAGTACATGAGAGCTAAAGCACAAGTTGCAATGGAACAGAGTCTGGACATGGGTAGAATACTGGACATGATCCACAACTGGAAAAGAGGCAGACGTCATTGTAATCCAGGATCTAGAAACAAAAAGCTAAATAATAATTACTAGCAAATAGGGAGTGTTCATATCAGGAAGAACCATAGCAACATCCATGTAGCTCCCCAGTGACTGCAGCGGGGAGGGTAGGTTGCTGTTGTTCTTCTTTTGCTGGGCAAGCTAGTTCAGTGGACTGGCACAGAGAAAATGGCAGTGATCTTATGATGGCCAATAACACACCCTCCAACACCCAGTTGAAAACCAGGCCATGTGTAAAGAAGCAATATCAGAGTGGGACCAAGATGTCAAAAGTTAAGTATGAGGAAGAATGGACAAGCTTCAGGAGGCTGAATCAATTTGTATTGGCTCCTCTTCTCTTCTCCCCCTGCTGCATGATTTGAGTGTAAACTACTTTTGCACTCTGAAATCAGTTTGCAACAACTGAAGCAAGCAACACACAAATGAGAAAAGCAAGAAGACGAGAGATAAACTGGGACATTTTTAAAGCAGGTGAAAAGTGGGACAACAGAAGATTGATCTGGACAATCTCTGCCAAAGTGGAGGGTATGTAATAATCCTTGACACTGCAAGATACCACTTCCCAAGTCTGATCAGATAAGCAAAATTGTACCTCACGAGAAGAGCATTTAGAGCAGGCTTCTAGAACCAGAATTGTGTGGTGGTTTAAGTGCTGAACTACAACTCTGGAGACCAGAGTTCAATTCACCGCTTGGCCATGGAAACCCACTGGGTGGCCTTGGGTGA